CTCCAGAGGACCATCTTTTCCCACTGCAGCATAAACTGCGAGTCCAGGGTCCAGCTGGCCTCTACCACTCTTCTTCATAACTTGTTCCATGTTCCTACAAATGAAGCCAGTTGCAACGAAGTTACCAACTTTATTCTCACACCTAACTCAAATAAATTAAAACTTGGGGAAAACTATACTTTGTTTCATTGGATTCCAATTCATGTCTCTGAAATGACCTGAATTGGAATACAATCCATATTAACTCTCCAAAAAGCTCTGTAACATTCCGATCAGATGTTAACTTTTCAATCTTATTCTATCCATTACTGTCTATTGCAAATTAACCACAGATTTCCCAGCAATTGCAACACAAGGCTCTAAAAGAAAGCTCCTTTGGGGAGGACATTCTTGAACTATTGAATTGGCAAATTGTGTACAGAATGCCATGTTGAATTAACGAGATGTCAAACCCAACCCAATCTTAGGTCATCCAATTATCCACAGAGACCGAATAAATGTGCTTTTTTTTTCAAAAAGAAATTATCCCATACGCCCTGAAATTATGACGGAAAAATATGTAGGATGAATGACCTGATTTCAAATGTTCATTTTATCTGCAGAAAGTGATGCTCATAAAATCCTGATATATGTTCAAAGTACAAAAAGTTTACAAAAATCCAGGCTTTTTGCCAAATGTTATTTTAATTACTGTTCTATTTCAGTTTTCCTTAGGCTGTCTGCAAACTGAGGTTGGGACAGTGCACTCAGAGTGTGATTGATCGTGCTTAGTCCAGGGCAAATGTAACCAGTAATGGATTTATTGCCAAATATAACAAGGCGAAAGATAGCTACTGTTGCCAATATCTGGGCATACAAAATATAAGTATATAAACTTGTTTCTAGAGGAAAAAAAGTGAAATCTTGCTCTTCAGTTCTAACTTTTCTCTCTTCTGAAGACATCAACTGACGTTAGGCTGGCATCTCACAAGAAACATCCGTAGCACCTTGTCTAAGTGGCCATTCGAGATGTGAGCAGGGTTGCTGTCAGTGGATTAGTTAACCATAGAATGCAAAATAGCCAAACTAGTATTGGTGCTATATCTATAACAGTTCTAAACACATCCACCCAGTCCAAAGTACATCCAACCCACTCTAATCTCATCTACCCCAATCCTAACCACCTCTGCTCCTCTACTTACCTCCCAGCCCCACCTCCTTGCCCCCCTAATGACAGACATCATAAACCTCTCCACGTCCACTGGCACCATTCCCACCCCTTTAAAAACAGTCGACATCACTCCTATCCTTAAAACAAACCCTCCCTGGATCCATCTATGCTCTCAAATTACCACGCCAACTCCAATCTCCTTTTCCTGGATCCTGGAATGAGTTGTTGCTTCCCAGCTTCACTCCTTCCTCTCCCGCCACTCACTTCACGAACCCCTCCACTTGGATTTCCGTGCCGCCAAGGTACAGAAACAGCCCTGGTCAAAGTGACAAATTAAATTGTGTCCATCTGCGACCAGGTCTCCCTCTGCCTCCTCATCCTCCTTGACCTCTCTGCTGCCTTCAATACCATTAACCACTCTATCCTCCTCCACCGCCTCTCCTCTCACCTCAACCTTCATGGTTCTGACCTTGAATGGTTCAGATTCTACCTCTCACACCATCTCCACTTCATGTCCACAAATGGCTTCTACTCCAGCCCCTGCACGCTTTTGTGTGGTGTTACTCAGGGCTCTGTCCTTGGTCCCCTCCTCTTCAATACATGCTCCCTTTTGATGACATCATCTGCACACATGAGGTCAGCTTCCACATGTCCTCTCTCAGGCTCCGTGACCCCATCAACCCCACGTTCGCCAGGCTCCACTAGCTTCCCATCCTCCAGAGAATAGAGTTCAACATCTTGCCCTCGCCTTCAAGGCCTTGCCCCTCCCTACCTCTGCGACCTGCTAATATGATATCAACCAGTCCGCTCCCTCTATTCAGCAGGTTCTGGCTTGTTCCACGGCACCCGTCCGGACCGCTCCATCATTGGTGGCTGGGCATTCAGCCTTTCTGCCAACACACTATGGAACTTAATCCCACATTCCCTTCACTGCACTCCCTCCCTTGCCTCCTTCAAGGCGCAGCTCAAAATCTTCCTTTTCAACCGAGCCTTCAGCCTCCCTCCTACCTTCCCCGATCCTGACCCCCAGCTTGAGTCCAAATCCCTGACTGTCCAGCGCCTTGGGACATCCTCTTGATGACTTGAAAGGCGCTGTACAAATGTAATTTTGTATTGTATTGAAAATCACTTCAAGCTAATAATATAATAATAATCCTTGCATTTGATATAGTGCTTTTCACATCTTCTAGACCTCTCAAAGTGCTTGACAGAATATACTGTAAAGTGAATTGACTATATTTGTGGGCGAATTACAGCAGCCAATTGTGCACAACAACAAGATTCCATTTATAGAGCGCCTTTCACGTCGGGAGGACGTCCCAAGGCGCTGTACAGTTGGGTCAGGACCCGAGCAGGGGGGAAATGGTCAGGGTGAGGGGAGGGAAGGGAGGGAGCGAGGAGGGGGTAGAGAAAGGTAGGTCTTGAGACCGGTCTTGAAGGAGGAAAAGGAGGAGGCGGCGAAGGCACTGGGGGATAGAGTTCCAAAGTCTAGGGGCTGAGAGGCTGAAGGCCCGGCACCGATGGTAGGGCGGTTGGGGCGGGGAATATGGAGCGGACCAGAGCCAGAGGAACGGAGGGTACGGGCAGGTAGGTAGGGGGATAGTAGGTCAGAGAGGTAGGAGGGAGCAAGGCCGTTCACTGAAGACACTGAGTTTTGCTGAGGTTCGGTTCCACAGACGATAGCAATGATCCACTACCATGAACTGAAACAGTGAATGCTGAAAGGATGTTCAACCGTGGAGAATCACGGTTCTGAGCTCAGTTCTGTAATTAACCGATGTTCATACATCTGCACTTTTCAGCAGTGGACTCTGGATAGCAATGGGGAGTAGGATCTCAGGCTGATTATGCCCTCCCTGGCCCAACAACAAAATGACATTTGTATAGAGCCTTTCAAGTCGGGAGGACGTTTCAAGGCGCTGGACAATCAGTGTTATGAAACGGATTTGGGACTCGGGATCGGGGAGGGTGGAGGGCAGGAGGGTGATCGAAGGCATGGCCGAAGAGGAGGGTCTTGAGACGGGTTTTGAAGGAGGCAAGGGAGGGGACGAGGTGGAGGGACTGTGGGATGGAGTTCCAGAGGGTGGTGGCAGAGTGGCTGAAGGCCCGCAGGCCTTTGGTGGGGCGGGCGAGGTGGGGGACATGAAGCAGACCGGAGCCCACTGAGCGGAGAAAGGGGGCAGGTTGGATGGTAGGGGGTTACAAGATTGCAAGGGTAGTGGGGAGCAAAGTCACAGAGGGCTTTGAAAGTGAGTTCCATCTTGAACTGTGTGATAGGAAGTCAGTGGAGTCGGGTGAGGATAGGGGTGATAGGGGGTGGGGATGATAGGCCCAGGGACACAAAGCCCAATTGCCATGGCCCAGTAGCTGAGATCAGTTAAGTTAATGCAGAATGGGAATCAAACCTGTAATTTCTGCTCCGTGTGGCTCAGTGCCAAATGAAACAGTGGTTTAAGCCCCCAATGCATAATAATCCTTTGATAAATGTGGCTGTTCAAAATTAAATTCACTTATTACAGCTTAAAGAATCACTAAAAGAATCTGTCGCTGACTGGCAGTACGTCATGGGCAGCTCGGGAACACCAAAATAAACTCCACTGGAATGGGAATCTCCACAGGTTAGTTGTGATAAACTGCTGGTTACTGACAGGATTCTCTATTTGCAACTCTGAATCGCTGTTAATGAATCTGTTGGAAACCGCTGTTTTTTCAACTCCAGTGACTTCACAGGTCATGCGGATTGAGTTTGCCGGTGCCATAATACTCTCATTGTGGAACTCGGACCAGCTATCAGCTGCTCCTGCCAACGGCTATAGCATTACTTTTAGTTTGAAAAGATCCTTTCATTTAATAATTCAGAAATGAAAGCAATTAATTTACCAATTTTCTCATGCTTGTTCGCACATGGAGAACAACAATGGGGATTTCTTAGTGAATTATAAATAGGCCAATTCAAGGGGTCAAATGTCTTTTATATAAACTGTTAATATGAAGATTCAGATTATAAATGTACCTGAAATTCCAGGTTAGATCAGGAGTTTCAGTTCACTAAAGGTTAATTTTGTTATTGTGAATCGCTTGTTTCTCCTTATGTAAGAATGTTTATGTTGGATCGTACAATATACAGTAACAGCAAAAAGACTGATAAAAACTTAGAGAAAGAGTGAAAAAAGACCAATGTAAGCTGGAGCTTTATACCCGTACAATTAGATAGAGCTGACTGACAGAATAATTTTTGCCTCTGATTAAGAACCTTGTAACATCTCAAAATGCTTTGTAGGTAATTGTTGTCAAGTATAGGGACAGCATTTGTAGACAAACATGGCAACCAATCTGCACACAGCAAGGTACCACAAAAGGTCCATGAAGTGAATTAATAATTTACGTGGAAGATAGTTGGCCCGAACACTGGGAGAAACAGCTGCTCATTTTGAATAATGTCATGTGAACTGGTAGGAAAGATATCATTTTAACATCTCTTCTGAAGAATTGCATCTCTGACAACTTGAACTGCTATGTGACATAGGCATTGTCAAAAAAAAGTTTTCAGTTAAAGTGATGGAATTAACCTAAAGTCTTACCATACCCACTCTTTACAGTTTAGGTCAACACTTTGCAGACAAAATCTGGTTTAATTCCTGGTTAGTAAGATCATTTCTAATACAAATTTTAGTCCTAACACAGAATGTTGCCAAGTACTATACAGAGAAGGAGCATCTCCACTTTTCAGCTTGTATTCAAGTCTTTAGAAATAAACCGAATGTCTGACGTCAAACAACTGGGGTTTGTTTTTAGTTTCTGTAGCAACGGCTTGTGTTTTGGAACACCAGTAATAAAGAATAGCAGTGAATTCATACCGACCATAATTTATTTATGCATTACGTTCTCAAACAAAGCAAGTTCTCATACAAGATTCCTGGCTAACTTCTTTTTTAAACATTCAGTATGAAAATAAAACACACCAACAATTAGATCCTCAAATAAAGCAGAACTACTCAAAACATAGTGCAAGTCACCTCCACCTTTTGGTATAGATTCACCTCACATCCCGGAGGTGAAGGACAATGTGCTAACCCATGCTATAATCCACTGCTTCAATTTCTACATATTTTTAGATTTCTACAGAAACTGGGAGTCATATTGACAGACTACTTTTCTTGCCTTACAGACATGTCAGGCCTCCAAACAATTGCACAATAATAGCCTTTGAACACTGCCATAATATTGATGGAGTGCAAACAATCAATCTATTAGAGCTATTTAAAAAGTAGGCAAGATTTGGTGAAAATAAGCATACATAAGAAAAAACCTAAATAATTATTGTAATGCAAATGTAATATGAAAATACACTTTTCATTGGTAAACCATCTCAAAAAGGCAATACATTTGCACAGAATTACTGATCAGCATTCATCATTGAAACAAATTTGCTTTTTGAATCCATAAATTAATGCAATTTGCTTTTTCACCACAAATATAATTCCCTTTTTTCATATAAATGCATTTGTCGATTTCTAAAGGCAGTGATGGGCGATTTTCTGATTTGGGGTTACCCAACTAAAATAACAATTGAGTGGAAAAGTAAATTATACTTTCTGGATTTCCATAGCCTCTCTGGGCCATTCGTAATTATTCAACATAAAAGACTCATAATCAAGACTGTAGATATGTTTCTTAACAAATGCTTCCTTGTCCTCAGGTTCAGGGTACCAAGCTGCATTACCATTCTTATAGGCGTTATCCACAATCTAAGGTACAAGAAAAAAAAGCGCAGCATTTAGGGAAATTGTACAGAATTGTTAACAACTTCAACAAATTTAAAACATTACGACTTAAAACAGGATTTAAAACACCTTCCTCTGAGAGCCAGTGTCGACTTGATAGGTCGAATGGCTGTCTTCGGTTCTGTAAATTTCTATGACAGTATGATTTCATTGTGTGAGAATCAATAGAAATAATAATATTGTTGTACGCTTCAAAGCGCTTCACGGGATTTAGTATAAAGTGCTTTTACAGTTAAATATATATTTTTAAAAACCATACCTTCATAGCGATTTTGAACGATACATCTCTTATACTACTCAGGGGTGGGTATAAACGGCCTTCTGCAAGATTCTCCTCCGTCACTTGTTCAGCAATGATCTAGGTAAAATAAAGAATCTCCAATAGACATCAATATAAAAACAACAGAATTCCTGTTAAATCAGGCTTGGCCTGGTCTCTGAATGAGCTTGAAACATTCTGTGTTCCCATGAAAAATAATTCTAGATCCTTAAAGATATAATTTTGCCTACAAATATACAGTCAATTCACTTTACAGTCTATTCTGTGAAGCGCTTTGAGACATCGAGAAGATGTGAAAAGCGCTCCACCAAATGCAAGGATTATTATTATTTTTATTATATAATCACTATGTTTGACGCCAATGAATGTTTAACAAGAATCGTGTGGGTTTGGAAAAATTAGATAATACTTGCATCCCAAAGCAGGGATACAATTAATCCAGTACACATGGAGAAGTGAGAGAAAATCTCAATACGAGGAGAACATTTTGCAGAAAATGTTGATTAGTTACACAACTCAATTTCATATTTCTAAAGACGAGTAATTTATTTCTGTCAACTGCATGCAGTCTTTGAAGGAGGAAAGGGAACATGCATTGCAATTCTAAACATATTGAACAGCTGTCTACAATTATAAAAGCATTGAAGCAAACCTCAGCTGAAGTCAAGAAGATGTCATCGGTTACGTGCCTCACTCCACATGTGATGATGCCAAGCGCAACTCCAGGGAAAACATAGGCATTGTTACCCTGTCCTGGAACAAATCTCCGGCCATCAGGAAGTGTCACAGGATCAAAAGGACTCCCACTGGCAAATATACCACGGCCCTGCGGGTATCAAAACACATAGATTAAAATATGAATCGTCAGAAGAATTTCTGTACACAGAGGGCAATTAACAACTGAAGGAGGTTACCAGGAAGGGTGGCTATCCTTAAAAGATAGTTTAAAAAACAGCTTGGTGCTGTGATGAGAGGATATTACGGTGGATATCCTAGAAAGATACAATCAAATGGGTCGAAGGAACTTCTTCATGAACCTCTCTTGAATCTTGCCCCCACCCTCTGGAACTCCATCCTGCAGTCCCTCCGCCTCAGCCCCTCCCTTGCCTTCAAGACCCAACTCAAGACCCTCCTCTTCGACCATGCTTTCGATCTCCTTGCTTCCCTGCTGCCCTCCACCCTCCCCGACCCCCAGCTCAGGTCCATAACTCTGTCTGTCCAGCGCCTTTGGACATCCTCCCGACGTGAAAGGCGCTTTACAAATAATTTTATTGTTGTTGTAAGTTTTTAAGGAAATAAACATTATTGCAAAGTGCATTCTCCATCTATTTAGTAAAAACAAATAGCATAATTTTAATCTGTCACAATATAGAATTTCTGACTGACTGAGGGTAACATCTGAATACACAATCAATGTTACTCCTGTTGCAGTTGAACCATTTTACCTCAGTTGAAAACTTCCAGGTGCAAGTGCCTGGAACAAAAGCATGCTAGGAAGAATGTTTCATGAAATCAAACACTGCACCATGTAATTCGAGATTGCAAAACAATTTAATCTGTCATCAGATATAGCCAACCATAAGAAGCAGCGCCAACACTGGAGCCAGAGATGGTGTGGAAAGATTAAAGATTAACACATTATTCTTTTCAGTGAATAGGTGATTGTTTAAAGAGAATAAAAAAAGCTTTGAAGCAGTTTGTACTTCAGGATATATCACCCATGAAGAAACCCATGAGTTTAAAGCTGTGGTGTGCCATAAAACATTAATCTTCCCATTCATTATCGCGAATTAGTATTTGAATAGATTACAGACTTAAAATACTAAATACACCAGAGTGCTTACTTCTGTCATGCGATAACACTGTTCTGCTGTACATTCAGACTTGCTGGTAGGATTACTCAAAGCAAATATAATTGGGTGTTTATTAAAGGAAGCCATGTCCTTTATTATCTGCTCAGTAAATGCTCCTCCTACTGCTGCCACCCCTGGTAAGATATGAAGCAAAATGTCCACATTTAGTTATACAGTTTTGATAATGAATTTTATGCAGAACTAGACACATTCAAACAGTGCACATCTGGAATTGAGAGATTAAGGTCCACTTTAAGATGAGTTACAAAGCCAGTAAATGTGCTTTTCGTTCTTGCTGATTACCAGAATCTGATTTTAAAGCTCAATATGATCCAAAGGGCAGTAATCATGCCAAATACATGCTATTATTTCCTCGGTGTGTGAATACAGAGATCGACTTTCAAAACACTTCCATTTCTATACTATAACTTTACAAGACTTTGTTGAGTGAGATTGAGTAATTGGTGCCAAGAATGCTGAACTGGACAGCTTTGCGCTGAGGTCTCATAATTACGATGGATTGCATGAAGTCTGTTCAATATGATTTCACTTATAACATGAACCTTAGCTCCCAGGGATGGGCTTCCTTCATGCCATATGTCAGGCATAGACTTGAATTGAAAAATAAAAATGTCAAAAATAACCTGATTGCAACCAAAATTTAGCTGTCATATATTAATTGATTGGGAAACATTGAAAGCACCACCTGACAAGCTTTGTGGTTTTAGCTGGTTAGCTTCCAGTAGTACCTCAACGCACTCTGAGGTCTTCAAGCCTTGGCTCTTGCAACGTGTGCCTAATACTCTCTGGTAATAAGTTAAGCAGGATGTGTCCTTGCAGGAAAAGAATCCACGTTCCATTCCAATAAACATCTTTGGAATTTCCATGTATAGGTGGGATGTGTGGCATTCTCAGTTGGGTTTGAATACTGGTAAGCATCAGAAAGTGATGGGTTTCTGTATGTGTCAAGACACCCGGCTGACCAAAAAATATGTTTCTGCAACAACAGACAATAGATATCTGGAGACTAGAGATTAGGGTCCAGTTTGAACACGAGTTATGAAGCTAGTAAATTTATTTGTTATAGTTCCCGAGAGAACCAGAATCAGAATTTAAAGCTCAATATGAATCAAAGGACAATAATCTTTACACAGTACCTATTATAGCTGTTGGTTTAACTGTGCGAACAACTTCTTCCAGGTGTTTTATTGGTGGATGGTCCTGAGCAAACATTTCCTTTTCATGGTTCAGGTGGCTTCTTCCCTACAGAAGGGAAGGGAGAATAGGAATGAAGGTTGATCTTGTATGTTTAGTATATTCAAATGTTACACCATCTGTTCTCATGCACATTTCTTCCACTGTAAGATTCTGTAATTAGTGTGTTAAATAATATAACAGATTATATTTGTGATGTTTATATATTTGAGAAGTATGATCAATCTCATATGATGGAAGCTGGTTGTGACGAGCTTCGCAGAAGAAACAAAAGAATGTTTATAAACAACAAACTGTTTTCAGTCTTTATCGGTCATTTTTTTCAGGGAAAAATAGTCTGCAGCTGGAGGGAGCTGAATTGTATTTTTTCACAAAGAAACCATCTTACAAAGACAATAGGTGAAAGGTCACCTAAAGAACTGTATAAACAGATCAATTCGGAAGAGAATAAGAAAAAAGAATTAAAGAAGGAGCGGGATCGAATTGGACGTGCCATAATACCTGGATACTTTCTGGTGATCGATTTACAATAGATGTACAACAATACTTGGATACCTTTTGATGGATATATATGTTTGGATTGAAGAAGGAATATTAAAATGGACTTTAAATTGGACATTGTTCCTGTATCTCTTCTGCGGTATTTGGTTAGATCAACTTAAATCATTGTGAACTATGTGTCGATACATAAAGATTATTGGGATGTATTCTTTTAATTAGTTATAACTATTATTAATGTGAATTAATAAACATTTATATTTTTGTACAACATTTGTGTCAGTCCTTTCTTCACTGCAGGGTCACAAATTTAAATTAACACTTACACCACTTTCTCCATACCAAACAAACATCACAGTTCAGGTTCAGATGCTCATATTAATTCCTCTTTGATGACTGCCAATTCTTCCAAATGATTAGCATAAGGAGACAACAATAATTTATATTTATATAATGTCTTTCACTTGGGAGAATTTCACAATTGACTGGGAACATGTGATGGGAGAACGATGGTTGGAAGATATCTGAAAGTGTGGTAGGGATTTTTTTTTCTTTGTAAGAATTATTACCTCTGGAAAGCAATCCACCTATCGACTAACCACCACATTCTTGCATACTGCGAGGTAAACAGTGGTGTGTGGAGTAAGAAAACTTGTCTAAGGTTTCCCCTTGACCGGGAATCGAACACAGGTGAGGCGAGTTTGCTAACCACTACACTACAGGACACAGCCACATTTTGGCCTAATAGGCACTTAACCGTAAGGGTAAACGAGGCTCCTCCACGTGGCACAGATGCTGTTTTTCCTCCTTGCACAGGAGAACTCCGCACTGTGACACAGCACATGGTGGGATAGCCGGGAGCCTGGAGAAGAGGAAAGCCGCCACCAAGGTGATGGTGCGTACAATAGCAATCTATCGCCATTGCCTGGTCAGCTGCAACCACCCCAAACCCAGGGGGTGGAGGCAGCCATGTTAGTATCAGGGATCACCTGAAACCAACATGAGAGGGCAAGGCTGTGCCTCTGTGCAATGTTTTATGCTTTTTGGTGCTAGCACCCCCACAAACTGGCACCCCCCTTTGCCCATGGAAATCCAGAGCCCCTTCAGGGAGCCAGTGCACCTCTGCTTAAGCCTTTTCATTCTTTATAGGTCATATACTGCAAGCTTCAAAGAGTGTGCAACTTAGATTCATAGGAAATTTTCTTCAACAAATTCTCTGCTAGTAAATATAGTGGTGAAAAATACACCGACCCTGGAGGTTAAATCCTCTAATTGTTCATTATAAAATAATGCCCTGATTTTCTGAGGAGGAGGGAATTCTGATAAGAATTTAAATATAACAAGCATTAATAATAACAATAATAATCGTTTCATTTGATATAGTGCTTTTCACGTCTTTGAGACGTCTCAAAGCATTTCACAGAATACGTTGTAAAGTGAATTGGTGTTCCCATTAATAATTCCCATGGTTCTTTATTGTCATTTACTTATCAAACTGCCCTGTTGTTGGTGTTGGATTTAGTTTGAGGATTAATTGGTGAAGGATCATTAAATATTAAAGTCTAAAGAACCACGCTGGACATTGTGTTGAGTTTTAGTTTGAAAATCTGGTTGCTTCACAATACATTGTACCAGCGGGCGTTCCTGGGGTAATTCATTTCATGAGGGAAACTATTAACTTGCTCTAAGTGTTTCCATATTCTCCATAGCAGTTTGTATCTATACAGTATTTCAAAATGCCAAACAGGGAAGCAATGGCACAAGTGTGCTACGATTTTAGCTATGAGAAAGTCTAATGGACTGTAGAGGAAACCATCAGAATCATATGCCTTGTAATCCACCTAAAGTGCTGTAGAGATTTCCGTACACCTTCCTAAGCTTTTCTCACTGTATTAAATACAAACTAAATTTCACCAGATACAGCACAGCGGGAAATACACCAACATTTGTGTGATGGTGGTCAGCTTTGGAAAATTAATAAACATAGCATGTAAGGGAGTATATAAAAAAATATAAAGTACAAGTAAGAAGAATTAACTCCCCAATCAACAAGCCTTGAAGGGACCTGTTCAATACAATGCAAGTATTCTCCTTGAATGAGGGGTTGAGTTCAGTGCAAAATCACAGATATTCCAGCAATAGCTCTTGACCTCTGCTCTTGTTATTTATGTAGAGGCTAACTGAAGGGAAAAAGGTTGAATGCATGTGAGGAATGTGGGTAATCACAACAATTTTTAAATATTAAGGTGGGTTGTTAATACGCAAGAATTAAACAAAAGCAATGTGACGTCTGTTCTAGTGGATTCCTGCTAAAGTCACTGCAACAGGAACCTCAATATTTCTCTCCAAAGACACCAGGTTTGAAAAAGAGTTGACTGGCATAACCAGAAAGGAGGCTGTCATAACATAAACTGTATTTTCTGCAGGGAATCCCTGTTCGTCACCCCAGCAGGCAAAACATGAGCTCTGACCAGATGTGATGTGGTTTCCCTGCAGCAAACACAGTTTACCTCTTGAGGTGCTTTTCTGGTTGTAATTCGGATATTTCACCTGTTGAGTGCCTTTATTTTTTTTAATAAAACATCCACTTTGCATATTCGGGATATTTGAAGTCACCATTTGACTGTCATGGGGAATCCAATTTATTGTTCGACGATGCAAAATTCATGCATTGTCTGCACATCCCCTGACTGGAAGGTTGGATTTGTTTAAAGAATTTGGCCTTTTCTTAAATATAAATGTCGTTATAAACCTACCTTGACAATGAGTCCCTTTGAATCCACCATCCAAATCTTTTTAAGAGCTTCTTTCTGCGATGTTCCCTCTTTCCCCATTGCCATAACGATGAGGTTTGCGATTCCCATTGCAGCCTGCAAAATACATCAATAAAGAAATACTGTGCATCTGTTGCTGTGTTTTTAGGCCGTTAACTCAGAGGAGTACTTAGAAATGAGTCAATGCTATTTCACTTCAAATCCTTTTGAAGTATTTCAATTACTGCAAAGTTCAGTTGCCACATTTTCTATTATTAGCTCCTTAATGTCTGGACACTAAAGATGGATTTCGATCAATGTAGTGATATCTGATTGCTTGCAGCAGTAAGAAGATTCGGAACAGGAAACTACATTTATATTTTCTGCTCGGAATGGTATTGGCTATGGCTGAGGAGAGTTCTGCACATTCACACTTCTTCATTAACCGGCACTGAAAAATGTTGTTCAAGTGCCACTCACACGAGCAATGTTTTTTATATAAATGTTATTGAAGTGCCAATCAAATGACCAAGTTTTAAAAAAAAGTTTTAAGCCAGCCCAATAGACCACCCAAGAACCTTCAAACTTAACTTTCTAGGTTTAAAAGAGCTTTTGAAATCAGCTGGAGTACAATAATACAGCAGCTGATGCATTGACGAGAAGTGTAGTTTACCTGATGTGAGGCACTGACGTTGCTACACTTCATGTTGATGCATCAGCTGCTGTACAGTTTAGTATTACCATCTGTGCTCATTTTTCCCGTCCAAAAAGAACCAAATTATGAGCAATGGTCACAAGCACCAATTGCTGACAAAACCATTAAATAACATGAATATTTCCTCCATAGCTGGTGATGCAAGCAGAGGTCTGGCTAAGGTATTCATAAGACAAACCATGTGAAAGACATGTGAGAGAGCAGATTTAGCCATTAAGTTCATTCCCCAGGTTTACCACAACTTTCTGACGAAGGGTCGTAGACCCAAAACATTGACTCACTTTCCTTTCTCCATAGATGCTGCCTGACTTGCTGAGTGATCCCAGCGACTTCTGTTTTTGTTTCAGATTTCCAGCATCTGCAGTATTTTTCGTTTTCTTCCCATTAATCTGACTGCTATTTCCCATTATGTTTACATCACGTACAGCCCATTTTGAACCTCTTTCACAAACTGTTAATGACCCATTAACTGGCTCTGTGGACATAAGATTATGGATTTTAATAATGTTTTTTGCTCTTCAACCAAATCATTCTGATGGAGATTTGCATCTGAAATGTTAAAACGGTCTTTTGCTCTCAGTTGTGATTGAGCGGCTATCAATTCCAGCATCTCCTGTTTTCATTTGAAAATTACATCATTCACGGATTTGCTGAATCTCCTTTATTTTAAGTACAGTAATTTAAACAAATAACCAGAAATGGGGATTAAAACAGATGGCTGCCTCACATTGGCAGGTTCTCAAAGCAGCAATACCACTGCAACAAAGATGAAGTGACTTCTCCCTTTGTTTATTGTGCTGGTCACAAGCTCCTGGCAGACAGCAGGACCAGACCCTGAACTTCAGGATGACAGGACAAGAAGCAGAATACAAAAAGGCAGACGAGTAGCAGAATACAAAAGGGAAGACAAAAAGGCAAATAAATAATGTTAAATAGTGTTACCTCCCCAGCTCCTTGGAAAACAAACGTGTGATCGGAGAGCCTGTTCTTGGTGATTCTCAGGCCAGCCAATAGACCAGCTACTGCTACAGACGCGGTGCCTGGGGGGGAAAAAAACAAGTAAAACTGTCAAAAACCGATTGCTGTCGCAGCCCTTTAATATAAGAACTCACCAACCACCAAACAACTTTTTCTTAATATACAGTGTTCCTCATACAATATTTTGTCCTTTTTAAATTATGTACCTGTGCATAAAGTATAGGTCAATTTAATATTTTGACATTGCTTTGGTCACTGTCTCGTCAACAATGTCCTTGGAAGGAAAATTGTGGAGAGTATCTATAAAGAACTAGAGGTAGAGTGGGTGGGGTGGAGTTCACAATAGGGTAGAATTTCTGTTTTCTGTAGAAAAGGAACAGGTTTGATGTGGTCTTCTCTTGTTCTACAAGTTTGTAACATAAACTAAATCACAGGTTTCAGAGTTCTGTACTTATTCACTTTGCAAATGTACAAATATATACATCACTTGTTACTTTTAACCTTATGAAAGGGTCATTAAATCAATTTTTTTTTCAAGTTGGGATAAAACCATTGTAATTTATGGCACAGAAGGAAGCCACTTGGCCCAATGTGTCTGCACTATCCTTTAAGAGCAATCCTTTCTGTCCCATTTTCCTGTCCTTTCCCCTCACCCCAGTGGCTTACTCATTTTAAGGCATTTGAAGGAAGTTAGTGTGCCAGTTAGGTTTTAACAACAATCTGGTGGTATAGTGGTAATTTTTCTGTTTTAGCTCAAAATCTGTTGAAAGTCCACAGGCCTAGCGGGCAGCCTGGGAACTTCGGGCAAATGAAGGAAAGTGAGCCCATTGTAAACTGTACCACAGTGGTGTAGGAAGCGAGCTCCATCCAGCACTATTATGTGAGCTCGACCCTGACTTCTATTGTCTTAATGCATTACCCATGTACCAATACTTGCTTAATTTATAATAATTACATTTTATGCAGTTCTTTGAGACATTTCTTTTAATAATAATGCTTGCATTTGATATAGATCGTTATCATGTCACATTTATGCTGTCTCTTGCCTTTGCCATCTTGGAATTAACCCTATTGAATTCATGAAGCTAACTCAATACTACTTGACCTGCCAATAAATCTTCCAAGTGGTATTCATTTGTAGCACTGGTAGTCAATATAAACATAAAAGGAGACCTCTTCCAATTTGATGGCGGTCCAGCATTTGAGGGAAACGTCAGTTGCCAGATATGCTACTTTGTGATAAAATAGTGCCAGTAAAAAGCAGACTGATAACAGAACTATACAGCCTTAATTTTTTTCTATGCAATTCTCCAAAAGAAGTGTTAACATTAAAAAGATTTTAAGGTGTCTTTTAGCAGTCCTGTAGAGTATTAGTTAGAGCACTGATCTTGCAAGAGGAGCTGGGTTCAATTCCCGGGCAGGACGAAACCTTAGACAAGTTTCCTTACTCCACGCACCATTGTTCACCTAGCAGTAAGTCAGAACTGGCTGTTAGTCGATTGGCGGATTGCTTTCTGCTGTCAAAATCCCTTTTTTAAAAAAGAAAAGAATAATTTGGTCACTCAATCCATGACTTGTGGGACACTGCTGTGTACGATTGGCTGCTGGGTTTCACCCACAAAATATACAGTCAATTCACTTCACAGTATATTCTGTGAAGCGCTTTGAAGCGTCTCAACGACGTGATGAGGCGCTATATCAAATGCTATTATTATTTGGCAAAAGAACAATAGGGTCTAATGTGTAGAGTTTCTAACAAAATTCCTTAAGCAATAGGTGGGTTCAGAAAATAGATCATAACATACTTCTGTTTACCGGAAAGAGTCCCCATTCATGCAACTCAGTTTCTTATGAAGGAATTTAGAATTAGAATTCCTACGTTTTAGAGACTAGTATACAGTAATCATTTCTCAACTCAGAGGATTCGAGGCATACATTTTTTAAAAAATTCCTGTTTGTCATTCTAAAATAACTTAATTTCCTTCATAAATGAGTTGCAGTCATAATGTTTATCACACAATTTTATAAAGTAATATATCACATTTTGTGTCTCTGCTTGATCCTTGAACACAATGGACACTTGCTTTCAAAGGCTTACAACATGGTGAATGACTGTACATAAAATAGATTTTAGTTATATGCTTATGCCACAATTGAGCATTTTCGTAACAAACTACTATTTTTAAAAAAAATAAAATGACCTTTGTAAAATTGGAGAGAATCGTCTCATTTTGAGACTCGTAACATTTCTGTGGTTTGGAAAAACAATTTGGTTTCCTTAGCTTTTCGCCATCTCGCAACTTTTTTATTTTAGGACCCTACACTGACAAGTTGCCCCACAAAATATATAGTCAATTCACTTTACTGTATATCCTGTGAAGTGCTCTGAGACGTCCCAACTATGTTTTGTTAGAGTCCCTGCTGGGGTTATATTCCTGGAATGTTTTTTCAGGAGACATCTGGAGTAATATACTAGGACATTATCTTTGTGCAAACTCGGCCAGTGTTTCTTTAATACTGCTTCTGTGGAAAAATCATCTTTCAACATTTCAAGCTAATCCAAAGTGAATTATGTTTTGATTGGACACTTATTTTATTTACAGTTGTTCTTGGAATTCCAGTTCTCTGTGACAAACGCTTGCAAAGGACTTCAAATTGGTTTTATGCCTGAAATTTGTGTTAAGAATAATAAGCAAGCCAATCATTTTTCCCCGATCAAATATTGTTATAAAAATAAGAAGTCGGATATAAGTAAGCAGTATAAGATAAGTAAAGAAAATTAAATCTAATATAATTCTGATCACAAACCTCAGATTTTGACGTTGACTTTCTGCCTCAAAATGTTGTGATTTTAACTCAGCTTTGGGATTGGATCATCCTCATTTTAGGCAACCACACGTTCAAAAACAATAATTAGAATACTGCCTTTCGCACAAAATAAGCCCTTCAATTTTTTTTATAATAATAATTTGGTCACTCAACCACAACGGTTTGTGGGACACTGCTGTGTGCAATTGGCTGCCGCGTTTCGTCCACTAAAATATAGTCAATTCACTTTACAGTAAATTCTGTGAAGCACAGTGAGGAATGTTACAGCATCCTTCATGCTGTTTGGTCTTTATTAAAAGCAATTTTTAACATTATGAAAGTTTCTTCAGTCTTTTACCTGTAAGGATCTTTGTGAAATGTGTTTGGACTGTCACAACTCAGTAGCTAGTGACTGAGCAGCTTATATCACAAAACTGCTCTTAATTGGCAACTTCCCTCAGAGAGCTATTAGGGGTAAGTCACTGCATTTCACAGTAAATCCTGTGAAACTCTAGACATGATAATGTAGCATTTCAATTGCAAGGATTATTATTATTATTTTCTATGTTGGAGCTCAGAGACACATTAATGAGGTACAGTAGAGGAGGAAACTGCACTCTACACTTAAACTGCATTGCATCTAACCTGTGAGTGTTTGATGCTGAACTAAATTGGGAAAGTGTTCCATTTTCCAGCACTATCATCCTCATGTTAATGAGAACAAAATTCACTGAAACAATTGTTTTGATTACATGATTGAACACGTTATGAATCGAATATCAACATTTCATGATTGGCAATGAAGTAAGATTTTAAGTCTAAAGCATATCGCATCTCAAATTCCACCTGGTTTTAGACCAAGATTATTCTGCCTTAATTTAAGATTGTGAATAATAGTAGAAAATTCTTAAAAATTCAGCTTTTCATTTTTTTTAAGAACTGTAGAAAATCGACTTCCAAATTAAGACTGAATATAAGAATTTTCAACAATTTTGAGACTTAAATTTCAAGTCAAAGAAAAGCATTACATGCAAAGATTAGGTGAATTTTCAGGCTTCATAATAGATACCAATTTTCACATTCACCTCTTGTGAAAGCAGAAATTGTACGATTCAGATTTTATTGTCTGAAATGAAAGTTTCAGCATGTTGTATTAGCTGGTCCAAAAATGTCCCTGTTAGTGTCTGTCTGACTCATGAAATGTTGAAAAAGTTGACAACCTATATCCTATATGTGCATCAACCCCCTTCCACAAGATCGTATCAGCTCAACAAGAATGGGAACATTTGGCAGCAGTGCTGGAAGATAGGAACTAAAACAGCATAACTCAGTGGTGGTAAGAGAATGCAAAAGCCCAAGCTGCTAAATGAAGAGGATCATTTTACATTACAACAAAACAGACTAGGAGTATCACAAAGCTGATAAGTGTGAATCACGAAACTAAACAAGAATCCTTCTGTTCAGTTACAGATGTATAAAACACCAAACAAAATTTACTACATGGACATTTACCTGAACAGTATTAAGAAAAAAATAAGAAGAACTTCCACAGCACCTTATTACACAGAACTGCCCAAAGCGCTTCACAAATAATGGTTGCCAAATGTTTTTGTGGACAGCAGCTATTGGCATCATCACCATCCCACACACAGCCAAGGGACTATGACCAGAAAAACAATAATCTGCTTGTGAAAGAGGAACATGTTCTGATAGATAAGAATGTATAGACAGCTGAATTCCCAGACGCTTAGGCTGCATCCCAAGCCCAATACTCTCTCTCTAAATTGTTATTTTATTCAGTTATGTTATTCATATCCATTTTAGAAGTTTTGTTTAGAAATGCTGAACACAATTGTGAGCTGCTGAGTAGAAATAACCAGTGTTCATTCATTTCAATATAAATCTTCCAGAAATGCATTTGCCATTCAGCCAGAACTCATTAGTGCAGTGTAGAGGGACAGCTGCAATGTCAGGGGTGTTGTCCTTCAGATGAGATGTTATATTGATACCATATAGTATATATAATACATATACATTTTTATTGCAGTTATATATGGACATTTTTTTTCTTCTGGTCTCTCTCTCCATTCCTTATTTGCCTCTGCATTTAACTGTGATAGTGCACCTAGCCTTGTATTTCAAACTGAAGGAATTCAAATACATTCTCATAAGTGAATTTTTTAATAAAAATGTTGCAATCCAACCACAACACAAGCTTTAACACACCCATAAATCCAACTCAATCTCTGTAGCTTCTTGAAAACTCCTTGTGACTGACTACGCAACTCTTATTCTCTGGCCTGATGACTCTAAGCTCAACATGTTATGATGACAATTTCCAGCAAAGTGTTGATGCCCTCCACGTACCAACTGAAAAATCATGAACATAGTCTCCTTTCCAAATATCGGGAAATTTTACAGTGACCAATGCAAAAAATATAAATTTCTCAAGCATGAAACAATTTTATTTACTCATTAAATTGGTAACAGGGAAAATACTAATTTTGCTTACTCACTGCTCAAAGATCCGCTCAGTGACATATTTATGCCTCCTTCTGTGTTGGAAAATCCTATGATTCTGTGTAAAAATCGGTCTGCTTCGAAAAATCTTAAAACATCCAACAGAGTCTAAACCTGGTGCTTATAAGGTGTTGTAAATGGAGACTTCTTTCTGGTAACTGAAGTGTGTCACACTGAGCTGGGGGAACTCTGATGCGATATAATTCAGGAGCAAAGTTCCTTGGAAGTCTGCTTGGTTACTGGAAGGATTCCCAATTACAACTTAGGATCTTAGGGAAGCGACCAGGCTTGATGGCCCCAATATTAACAAAGGTTTACACTATAAGCGTCTTTGTACGGTGCGGCAGATTTTATTTGGTCTGAATTTAGAGCATCTGATTTTGACTCAGGAACAGATGCTCTTTGAATAGATGCTGGTTAAATCAGAGTTGGATGAGTTCACATGGTATCCAAAGCTATTTATTAGGGGAAAAAAAGTATCACAATGATTAATTGCACTCAGACTCAGGTTTTTTTTGTTAGTGGAGCACACATTCAAGAAGAAAACATCTGCAGCTAGTTCAAATCCTAAGAGATAACTCCATAACTGTTTTTAATTCAAATCACATTGGTCATTTAATTACATCTCTGCCTCTGTAGTTCTGTCCTAGTGGAAAGATTCGTATTAACTCTTTAGGTTTAATTCAACACAAAATGCAAGCAGTGGAGAACAAAGATTGATCTTTATGAAGTCAGTGATACCTCAGCTAGGTATGCAAAGAACACCAAGATTTGAAATTTGCTCCATTCTCCTACTAAAATTCATTCTAAACCCCAAGTTGTTTATTTAAATCCCCTCTTGTCCTAGATCTTACTCCTGACCCATGGCTATACAAGACCAACAATTGTTAAATCCAGAACATGGGTTTGAATTTTTGCTTCGGGTCCTGTCACCTTTCTGAGGAGATGGTCATCACTTCCCCCTCAACTGAATCCAGGTGTCTGGAGACAAAAGGCAACCGGTCCATAGGTATAGAGCCATATTCAGATACTCAAAATCCTACATTCTATGTAAAATCTATAATAGTCTGGTAACCAAAGTATGTTACACTGAGCTGTGGGAGCTTTGCTCCTGAGTTAGACTGCCCACAGTCAGAGCTCCCACAGCTAGTGGGCTTCTCAGGAAGTAAAGGCAATTAAAAGGATAACCAAAACTAGCTAAATATAATGCAGATGTGAGATTTCGTTTTTTTTAAAAAAATCAGGCTCACACGAGCTTACATAATTACAAAAGTTGCTCATTTCACTTGAATATCTTTCACGGTCTGAATTGTCTAGAATCAGTTGGGTTTCCTTGTTATTTGTTCAAAACCATCCCAACTCAGAACTCATCAACGTTAGACTATTCATCACAGATTGAGTATCCTTAGGAGTACTGAATGGCAATTCTTAACAAAGAAAAAATACAATTTTGTCACAATACCTTGGATGTCGTCATTGAAAGTGCAGTACTTGTTGCGATATTTGTTGAGGAGGCGGAAGGCATTGGTGTTTGCAAAATCCTCAAACTGAATCAAGCAGTTTATTCCGTACCTACAATCAGAGGAATAAAAATCTATTATGACAGGTTTTTAAAATAAGACATGAAAGGTAAAACCCTAAACAATCAATAAATTACTTAATAATAATTTTGATATAGCACCCTTCACGTTAGGTGGACTGGGGTATCAAATAAGACAATAACACACATCTTAAAGTGCAAATTAATCTACGTTTTAAGATCAATTTTCTGTTGCAATCCCAGAGCCCAATTTTAAAAATGTACATAAGTTACTAGTAATGTGTGAAACCTGCAGAAAATGTTCAGGGGTTAGAAGGTCTTTTACATGAATGATACAATCACCATTTGCCATACCATGTTCATCTTATGCTGTATTTGCAGAACCTTGAGTGTGCTTTTTAAAAATCTGCAACACCATCTTCTGCTGAGTATGTATGTGAAATATTGGCAATGTTGCCAGCAAAATTATAATTTTGCACAAGACTAATAGTTGTGATCAGTTTATGGTTGGTCCACAAACTAGTTTTTGAGCTAGCAACAGTTACCTCTTTCATGTAGCACAAATTTATAGATCCATAGAAATTTACAGCACAGAAGGCAGTCACTCGGCCCATCATTTCTTTGAAAGAGCAACCCATTCAATCCTGTTTATCTGCCTTTTCCCCACTCTCCTGTAAATAATTCCATTAAGTTGTCTATTATTTCATCTATATGCTGCAAACGTCTGTTCTGAACTGGATGGTTTTATAGTTAGCTGACGGAAACCATAAATTGCTCCAATAGATGACAGATAATCAAAAGCTTTCCATCACCAGACAATGGTTTCAGGAAGTTACCTGCTGTTAGTTAGTTAAAATATACAGGATACAGTAAATCTCAGCCAGGGTGGGGTTTTGTATTAAGTTGTGAAAAAAAACATTTTGCTTGCGATTAAATGGTTGAGGAACTTCCTGTGCTAATGAGCAGCCTGTGCTCTGCAAAGAGAAAAATACATAAAAGTGAGCACAGAATCACTGATGTCTATAGCACGTTATATTCCTGCTGGACAAGTTCTGTGTTGCCTGCTGGTGGCAGTGTGGTTATGAGATCAGAGGTTAATGAATGAGTCACGTCAAGGAAACAATACTCTACTTACAGAGCAGGGTTTGTATTGAAACAAAACCAGAGGTGAAGTGTGGTTGGACATGGGATGGAATGTGAGAATTCCCAGTGAAACTCATTGCTGTTCTTTTCTCATGGTATCTTTCTTCCACATGTTATTGTTCAAATAGACAAATGCTTAAATTGGCAATGCTGAAATTAATTTTAATTCACAATAGCAATGACCATCCTTTATGAGATTATTTTGAAACCTGTTATTCTCTCTTGTCAGTTTCTTCCATTGGTTACCATTGCACTACACATCAATGATGAAATTTTTATGGCAACATTTATGCAGACTTGCTAAAGTGCGAACAATTCACTCTGTTTATTATTGAGTAGGTAGTATGTTAAATTCCATACAAAATAGCAAAGGGATCAATTTCTTAGCTGGGCAACAGAATAAGGAAATTAGATGACAGAAATTAAGATCATGAAAAAATAAAGACTTCAGTAAGTGCTACAACCAGAGTTTCCACTTTCAGGCTGAAGAATTTTTGTGATCTCCACCATTTTAATGCTAGAGAATCTGTTTTTTTTTCTAGGTTTAATCAACTGACAACTGCAATAGATTCAGGATTAATCTGCTTTCCCATGTGAGAAATTCCTCATGATACAAAATGTGGCTTCTGACAATGTGAACAAACACAGGTTAAATACAGTTATTAACCCCAGATCATCAGTGATAAGACTTCCTTTTGACACATCTCAACTTGTTGAAATTCCTCAATCCAGTTCATACATTTGTTTCTTTATGGTGGTCATATTACATTGCACAACTACACCAGCAATATCCTACAAACAACAAGGAGCTGAATGACCAGTGAATCTGTGCTTTTGGTGAAATTGGATGAAGAAAGGATGTTAGCCAGAATAATGAGAGAAACTCTGTTTTCCATTTCAAAATAGTGCTAAGTGATCCTTCATATCCACATGAAACACTATAACATTCAGACTGTTTTACAACTCATCTGAGAGAATGAGTCTCCACAATACAGGGTTCCTTCATTCCTACAGAAATTCTGAGCTCAACTTGAGTGACCGTTCCTGAAATCTGCTTGCACGCTTATAGCCTTCCCAGCCCTGTGCCTCTCAATCATCTTTTCTCCTGCAAATACAAGTTAAGTTCTTGGTTCTTAAGCCCTCTGGGATGCTACCCTGTGTGAAGGGAGCAATATAAATGCAAGTTGTTATTGTTGTTGGTTGTAAATTGCTTTGAGGCATTTAATTTTTTAGGTGAAAGATGATGTAAGAATGTAAACTGTGATGAATTACTTTTAATCATTGCTGCTACTCAAATGACACAGATGGAAAAGCGAATACAAGAAAGGTGAATCCTAAGGAAAACTGGTTGCAGCTCATCATTATTGACAACTTCAGTTTCTACAAAGAATATATCAAAGAGTATTCCAAAATACAGTTTGGAATACTGTCATTTTATTTAGCAGATGACAGTTACCACCAGCTCCTAAATTCCCAAATACGGAACCACAAGTAACACTGATCTATAGTACTGCAAATAGCAAAGCCCACTTGTAATATTGGTATTGACTTATACAAAGTAAGAATGTACGCTTCGAAAGTCAGTTTCTTGTCTCCTACATACAAGTGTGAAGTGAACGGGAGAGATTACAACTGGTTGGACAAGCAAATGCTATGACTCCTACACTTGGAACACTTTTCTGATAACCTCGAGTTTGCCTTAAGTTATAAGATACCCTTTGAAATACTGTTGCCAGAATTTTAGAGCTTCACACAAAAATGAAATTTGAACAAAAAAGACTGCTAATAATGGCATCTTCTGTAAATCAATGGCTGCTTTAGCTTGGCTGGCTTTAAAAGAAAATTTAAACAGGGATAGTCATAAAATCTAAGTAAAGAACAAAAACTATTCAAAGCTTTATCACGTTCCATAGTGAATAATATTCTTATCAATGCAACACTTTTGATCAGATTGAATCAAATATAGCTATCTGAGCAGGTTTCTGCACCACACTATTCATTAACCTGAATACACTGTGTCTTCATTCTCTCTACACCCTTATGCTGTTTATGAAGTTTGTAATACGACTTTTGTTGCCGTTGAAACTACATAATTATGTTGAACACAAAAGGAATGGACCTGTCAAAGACTGAGGGCAGACATTTGCAGGCAGACTCAATTTAACTCCCTTTCTTTGATTGCAAGCCAGCACCCCAAATAAGGTCGCTGGCAAAGTTGTGGTAATTTATTCTTGAAATGTCTGGGAAGATTCACAGTTTAATCTCTCAAGGCAAAAGTTCTGAATTTCTTTTAATTGTAAGAGATACTCTTGGTTCACAGCTAGGTTGTAGTTGTACCTCTTCTGAGAGAATAAAAGATCATAAAACTATAACTTATTAGTCAGGAGCTGAGCACAGAACAAAGCTTGTTCTGTTACCTTTAGTTTTCCCAGAGAAAAGGGAAAATGCTACTGCACATTTTAATGACAAAACAGTATCATCAGGCATTCAATTAGTCATTTGCACTTGGAACAAGAGAAGGGCAAGTCATGAGACTGTGGAAAGAGCTGTTCCATTCTTATTCTCAATGGGATTCAGAGAGTAAAAGCATACTTTCAAATATGCCAAGTCAGCAGAATAAAAAGGCACAGGTTTAGGGCTGCAAGATTTAACCTAAAAATTATTTAATTTATTTGGGGTCTATTATACGAATTATGTAAATTCATGTATACAGTAGATTTCTGTTAAAGTGTGATACAAGTTCACTTATAGTTTATTTGGGGTGTGGACCTCGCTTTGCATAAAAATCAAATTACCCGCAGAAAGCTGGTTGTTTTGCATCAAATAATAATAATAATCCTTGCATTTGATATAGTGCTTTTCATGTCGGGAGAACGTCCCAAAGCGCTTCACAGAACACACTATAAAGTTAATTGACTGTCTATTTGTGGGCGAACGCGGCAGCCAATTGCGCACAGCAATGTCCCACAAACAGTCGTAGATTGAAAATGACCAATTTATTATTGTTTTTGGTTTTGGAGGGATTATTATTAGGCGGGTGGAGTAAGGAAACTTGCCCAAGGTTTCGCCCTGCCTGGAATTGAACTCAGGTCTCTCACTTGCAAAGCGAGTGCTCTAACCACTGAGCTACAGGACTCCACAAAATAATGTTGTTTCCCCTCCAAACAGCGGCTAGCAGCCTGCATGTTAAAAACGCCTGACTTCTGTTGACATCAGGTTGGAATTTTATGGACTCCAATTTCTGTGTTATACCTGGGTTCTACTGTATAATGTGAGTCGTGTACAGCATGTGTGCCAAAGGAATTGCAGGGATCATTAATTATGTAATTAACAACCATTGGAGAATTGCCTGTAATTTGCTCACCTGTAATTCATACTGCCTAAACTCAACCAACGAAAATATAGACATTGGTCCCAAAAGTACTGCATTTCTTATTTTTTTTCCATATGGTGCAAAACAGAAATGATAGGATTACCAAAAAAACTACCCAGGGGATTTCCTATCAGCAAGGTAATTTGCCGTTATTCCCTGAACAATATTTTACAAAATTCTTTCCTACAATAGGACGTAGATTCCCTTAAGCAATGATTCTAGCAGCCTATTGGCACTTGTTCAAGTGAACAATAAAAATGTACCAGTTTATAGCTTTTAAAAGCAGGTACAATTTATGATTCTGGTAGTCGAGCATTGCTTAAATGGGTCTGTTTTCTTAGTAAATGGTGTTGACAAGGAACATTTTCCTCAATTGGGCCATTTTTCTCAGAACATATTGGGCCAGACTCAACAGGCTTGGTCTGGTTAATCCTTTGAGCATGTAGTTTTCCTAACAATGTTTTGTTTGTCCCCTTTTTAAAGTGAATAACAATCTCTTAATTTTGCCCAGCTCTGCAGATCCAAAATTACAACATTTCATTGCATACATTTGTCAGGTTAATCAACTTTTAAATCAAACAACACATTCTGAGAAGGTGTCCCAATGGTCTGGCACTTTTATGTGCAAAAGCAAAGAAGCTGGAACAGGGATACCAATACCACATGAATTAAGTCACTTTCTGAATGAAAACCATGAGTTACAACATCCTACCTGTTTGTAACTGCTTCCATGAACTCGTCAAGCAATTCGTCATACTCCTTCCCACGAATTCTCTTATGTTTCAATCCAATATAAAGTGGATCATTGAGGAGATTCTGGAAATGATTAGAGATTTACCATTAGTTTTTACTTTCAACCACTGTTTACTAATTTTCCTGCATGCTTCCTCTTTTAGCTCCTTCATTCCTATAAACAATTGTTTTCTGATTGATACATATCAAGTTTGATTCGTTTACAGAATGTGGAAAAACACATCTAATAATAATAATAATCCTTGCATTTGATATAGCGCTTTTCACATCGGGAGGACGTCCCAAAGCGCTTCACAGAACACACTGTAAAGTGAATTGACTGTATATTTGTGGGCGAATGCGGCAGCCAATTGCGCACAGTCGTAGATTGAAAATGACCAATTTATTATTGTTTTTTGGTTTTTGGAGGGATTATTATCAGGCGTGTGGAGTAAGGAAACTTGCCCAAGGTTTCGTCCTGCCTGGAATTGAACTCAGGTCTCTCGCTTGTAAAGCGAGTGCTCTAACCACTGAGCTACAGGACTCCACTACAGGACAGGACTGTGAATAGTGTGAAAATAAATAATGAATACTTCTTACATTTGTCAAATGAAGACAATGAGAGTTTGTTGTAAAACATTGCAGATTTAGATTTCCTGATCAATAAGCTATTTGATAGTTTACCAATCAAATAGCCATTTATTTATCATCATATTAAGCAACAACAACTTGCATTGATAGAGCGCTCCACAAGCAAGCAGAGTTAGAGTGACATTGAGTCCTGTAGCTCAGTGGTTAGAGCACTCGCCTTGCAAGTGAGGCACCTGGACTCAATTCCCGGCAGGGTGAAACCTTGGGCAAGTTTCCTTACTCCACACGCCTGATAATAATCCCTCCAGAAAACAAATAATAAATTGGTCGTTTTCAATCCACGACTGTTTGTGGACATGGTGTGCGCAATTGGCTGCCGCGTTTCGCTCACAAATATACAATCACCTAACTTTACAGCATACTCTCTGAAGTGCTTTGAGACATCTAGAAAAGCGCTGTATCAAATGCAAGAATTATTATTATTATTATTATTGAGCTGGAAAGAGTGGGGATGTGATCAAAGGCATGGTCAAAAAAGAAAGTCTTCAGCTGTGATTTGAAGACAGGTAAAGAGTGGGGCAAGTCGGACGGACTGAGGCAGGGAGTTCCAGAGATTGTGGGAATAATTGTCAATCAAAGAAACTCCTAAAAAAAAACATGCACTGAAATTACGAGAACACAGTTAGAGTCCTGTTATCAGAATTTAAAGATGTGCTAACTAACCAACATAACCAATATTCAAATTGCCAAGCAGCCGTTTGCTAAGTCTATAAAACATGACTGAAGGTAATTTAATGTTCCACATGAGTTTGTAGTGATATATATATATATAAAAAAAACAGCAAAACTCATTTTGGCCTGAAATCCCGAAAGAGGAGAAGGTGGGAATCAGCACCTTTATAACCAAGATAGCAAGACTGTTTGGGCCAAAAAGTCTCTTTCATCCCTGCTGCAGTGTCCTATTTGATATCTAATGTTAGTGCACTGAGGCTGCAGAGGGTTAGCACACTATCTTTTCCACAAAGACTAACTTTATTAGGATGAAAAAAATGTGAGAAAATTATTTGTTTAAAAAAATCACAGGGAAGGAGTCACTGAAAGAACTAATTGGTTTGAGTGGTTAAAGAGAAACAATTTTAATGGTTTTTAATAGCTAATATACATATGTTACTATCCCCCCATTGTGTTCTGCAGCAGAGGTGAAGCTATTCAGAGCTCGCTTCAGGGTTCATGTTGACTTCTATTCTTTCTGACTCTATCCTAGCAGGATTTACATTGAGTTAGAAAAAAGTGACTTCTTCAGACAAGGGCATCTGTGATTCTTTCCATAGCTGAAGTCTCCTGGAGCTGCAAGGAAGAAAGCTCTGGTTGGATTGGATTCCTGTGTACAGACAGGAGGGGACTGACTAACCATTTGCTCATTGTTCTAGGGATCAGCTTCCTGTGGGAGGCCCAAGCAACGAAGCTGGATCTGGATGTAATTTATTGTACAGACTCCACCACAGCATTTGATTGCCTATAGCTATGGGCAAATCCTAAACTCCTTTCTTATGGCATTCCTTATAATATTGACAGTCTATCTCAGAATCCATCTTGTTATTTGTGTGGGTCGCAGTCCAGTAATAACAAATTGTCCTTTATTCAGATGGAAACTACAAAACTCTCCCTCTCCTTAGATATTAGATCCTTCCTAGGACTTTCTTCACTTCAGGGGATTGTTCAGCTCAATTGTTCTTTTTTAAAAAATATACTTTTAAAACAATATACATTTGGGATTTAATTTTGTTGGCACTTGGTTGCATCAGTAAACAAAATTCCAACAATGATGTGATCAGTGTAACACGGGACTTGTCTGTGTTATGAAATTATGTTGAAGGTATCTGAATGAATCAGCTTTCAGAAACTAACTTAACACTGCAGTAATTTCAGGCAGGAGGAGCCCATCAGTCCATTTAAAACACCAAATTTTCCACAAGATTACTTTGTGGATCTATCCATCTCTAAATCTATTAGCAATCTCATTCTTGAGCTTGCTGGTTGAAACACTTAACAGTACTAGAATACATGTGGTTTATACAAAAAAAACAGATGCACAATAAATCTGGAACTTTGTTCCAGTGTTATGTATAAAGCCCAGCTCGTTGGTTTTCTTCCGAGATTTTCAGGCAGACATTCAGCAAGAAACAAACTGCACGTTTGATTTAATTTCTTTTGATCAGCTTGCATATATGGAAACTAATTGACATGCTTAAGAGTATCCAAACCAAATTGGGAATTCCTGATATGAATGCCAACTACACATAATTTCCCTAATCTGTAATGGTAGGTTTAACAAGCTGAAACCACACAACTTGCCACTGCGAACACTGTCTGACAAACATCCTGCTGCTTGACCAACTAAGACCACTCTACACAGTGGCATTTGGCTTGTAGAGTTAACAAGAAGATCGAATCCCTGCCTCCGGTGACTGGTCTGCCCAGGTTGGAGATGTGTGCAACTTAAAATGGCATATCAGCTTGAAGTTCCAGTACTAAAAAGTTGAAACGCAACAGCAAAAATCATGTGCCAATAGAAACTCAAGCAGTGCACATGTCAATCATTTCAGGTAAAATAGATTAATGACCTGGTATCTGTTCAAAATAATTCACCATTATACAACATGTATTGAGATAAACAAAGTGGGACAAACTGAAATAACTGTCCTCCATCTTACATTAAGTCAAAATTTATTGCTCCATTTGAAGGGCGCGACATAAATCCAAGTTGTTCTTGTTGTCTGACACTGCGGCGAGACTAGAATGATTTCCCTTATCGGAATAATACTATACTCAAATATTTTACAGCATTATTGCCACAATTTGGATGCAGTGCTATTTTGTTACTAGAGCAAATTTAGCAGCAATTTCCTTTAGTTTAAGCATGGAGCTAAATATTCATACCTGCTTCGCAATTCAACAATATCAACATATGGTTATATAGCGCTTTTCACATCGGGAAGATGTCTCAAAGCTCTCACTTGAAATTTGCAAGTCTCAAGCAACACAAACCAACACATTGAAATCATTGACAATGCCCACCGCTTGGATTTGTGCCGGCAAAGAATTTTTGCTGTTATGTTTAGCATTTTAATACTAGAACATCAAGCCGATTCACTTGTGAAAGCAATAATATTTAGAACCAAGAAAACTTTACAACTTTAATAGGTAATCCTTGCAAAAGATGGCTGACAATCACATTTTAAGATAAAGGCAAGAGATATTACTGTAAACTACAGCACCAGGATATCTAGAAACTACAGCGTGAGACTTGCAAATCTGGCTTTTGTTAAATGAACTCTTTCTTCCTCCTTAATTTGATTTTGTCCAACGTAACCTCAAATTCAGTTTTTATTTTGACCACATTAAATCAAGCCAGCCCTCTATGGTGGTCTAAGGAGTCCAATTGCTGAGCACTGCTGATGTCAGCACAGCCAGGCTGGCTCATTGGCAGGACTTGGAAAGGCAGGCCAGTCACTAGGGATAGGGACTCTTCTCACTCAACTCCTATTAACCATGCAAGCAAAAACCCTAATAGGTAGGGTGGTCCTAGCTGGACAAGCAGTGGGAAAGCTTGCCAGGTAGCGCTCTCAATGGCAAGCTGTGTTGTTTAAGCTGGTTGGACTCCAACAGTACTCCCACTCTGGGGTCCCCAAGCCTTAGCTTTTGCCAATCTGTGCTTAATACTTTCTGAAATTAGATAAATAGGATACTTCTCTCCAGGGTCCCACATTCCATTCCAATCAACATCCTGGAATTTGCATGTATAAAATAATATTAATCCTATATATAATATATTTACACACACACACACACACACATGTATAGGGGGTAGGATACATGAAACTCACTTTGACACATGTGGAAACCCATCACACACCATGCTCAACAGTATCCAAACCAGACATCTGATTGACCTCCAAAATATACCACTTTACTATAAGGAACATGCAGAACTTGTGAAGATGTTTGTGTGATAAATGAACAATGGCCTGTAGTGTAAAAATGTAACCAACAGTAAAATGATCAAAAATGTTACTGTAGTTGGAATATATTCCATAATGCGACAGACTGAAATAATTACAAGTTTATCATTGTTGTGAATGTGGGAGCAAGGCCTAAAAGTCTCAAATTATCCAACTCTTCATACATTCACAGAGACATGAGGCATGTGAAATCTGTAAGAGAATGTGGGGCATGTAATGTCTCAGACTGTACTCAATACAATAAATCCCAGAACTGCGGAATGGGAATGCTAGTTCATCTATTAAAAACAAATCTAAACCCCACATCCTTTCATCAAGAAATTAACTCAATTACAGGACTTATTTGTCTCAATAATTTGCAATAACCTTTTCCCATGACACAGTACCGCATGCAGTAACAGAAAGCCCTGAACTTTTCGGTTTGAAAATGAGATCAAGAAAAAAAATGTAATTTTCAAAAAAGTCAATTCAATAGAATGAAAATAAAATTATAGTGAACTTGAATTGAAAATATACTCACAGACATCCAGAACGTGACACTTGGCAGTATTTTGATACCTTTTAAATTAGCATGTTTTGCAACTAGTACTGACCCATAGATCCCAGGATTATTTTATGACTGGATATGGAAAGGTTAAAAAATGGCTCAAGGGTATCTTTGAAACAATAATAAATTCACGGTACCCTCAAATTATGGGAATTTAATGAGGACATTTCACTGTCATTCAGATTAAATATCCTAAATGATGTGTGGAATGGAAATGGCCATCGCAGGTTCAATCTCAAGTCTCTGCTTAGTTCACTGAGTTTTGTTTAGACAGTGCTTTAATTGAGCTCAGCAGTCCTCTGCTGAGTAGAAAACTGCTGGAATACAGTTAAAAGAAAAATGCTTATTTTTTCATGTTTATCTCTTCCATCGTTTTCTCTTTTTCCTAATGTTATACAATGCAATTTACATTTACTGAGCTCCTTTCTCATTAGGAGGATGTCTCAAAGTGCTTTATAATGCTGGCTGGGCACCTGAGCCAGTGGGGGTAGGAGCTGAAGAGGGTGGGGAAAGAAAAGAGAACCAAAAGCACGGTCAAAGATGGGCTTTGAAAGTGGGAAGGAAGGGTCAATTTGAAGGGACTCAGGGATGGAGCTCCAGACAGCAAAAGCAAAATGGCTGAAAGCGAGGTCACCAATAGTGGGGCAAATATCGTGTGGGACATGTTCAAGGAGTGTTGGATAGTGTAAGGAAGATGGGAAGCAACAGTCTCAGACCTCAAAAAAATGTTTCCCAGACACATTTTCCTTCTTCCTTTTAGGTTTCATTGTGCTAATGAAAACAGCCTGGTTTTGACCAATATTATTCTTCAAAATGCTGGTTTCAAAAAATATACATATAGAAAATACCTCATTGTCTGTACCAACATCCAGAAGTACAGGGAGGCACTGTTGTGGGTTCACCCCACCACAGGCAGTGTAGAGAGCAAGTTTTCCTACTGGAATTCCCATACCATAGCTTCCAAGATCTCCAAGGCCAAGGATCCGCTCACCATCAGTTACAACAATTGCCTTAAAAAATAAATTGACTCAAGTTAGTATTATAGGAGTTAGTTCGTAATTCTCAGCCCAAACATTCTCACAAGCCTAAGCATTCTTCACTTGCTTAACAAGAAACAGTTGAAATAAATGAAAATGGGAATGGCACTAATTTTAGCTTTGAAAAATTCAAGACATTGCAGCATAATCCTTGTTCAGCCTTATCTTTGTCCAACCTCACTGAACAATTATTTGTAGCATCTGGCTTTGACATATTTACAGTATCAATTTTTCTCGTCTCCAATATAAACGTTCCTTGATTAAAGCACGTCAGTAGAAAATCTCACAGAAACAAAGAAATCTACGATGAGGTACAATACCAATTGACTAGTTAAGCCAAATGCCAGGAAAGCACTCAACTTAAAGCCAAAGTATAATGCTATGCATATTGGAAGAAATGGATGCCTGGCAATATCTTCAAATATCTGACATACTTGAGTGGTTTGCATGAGATTTGTAAGATTCTCCAAGATCTCTCAAATGTACTGCATTTATGATCCTCTATTGCCCAGATTATTATTTAGCACAAAATTATGCTAAAGATATTAAAATATGCAGAAAATCTCAAATTTTGGCATCGCTATAATAAGTGAATGCAGAAATCTGCCGATTTGAGAAAATACATACCTTTATATCCTCCTCTGTCCAAGAGTCCAGCATTGAAGCAATGTGGCCTCTGTCATGAATGGTGATGAACAGTCCTCTGAGGTGGGGGGGAAGGAGAGAGAAAGAAAATCAAAACAACATTTGTGATTTGTCAACAGTGAAAGGCTATTCGCTGGATTAAACCATACTGATATAAACTTCCAGCTTGCACAAATTCATTGTTTTTTCCATCTGATGACTAATTCATTCCAATGACTGACCAATGCCAAGATCAGTGTCATTTATAAATAAGATACACAGGGGAAGGGTTCAAAATTGCTGCTCCTAAAGGTACCCGTTCCTTTTTTGAGGACTTCAGAGACAAAACATTGAACTCCTTGGCTTACAAATCACATGGAAACCAAACTGTGTCACAAAGAAAAATGAAGATAGCTGGAGAAGCTTACAAGAGTGGGGATGCTCAAGAACGTTTGATCTTCTTGCCACTATCAGCCTTCTCCAAATTTACATTGACCAGCAAGAGAATATTTCAGAAGGCTGTACCAAAAATCCACCTCTCGTTTTTGCATAATACAGTTCAAAACCATCCATTAGACTGGATGAAGACTGCGGACGGAGTGGCGAGAGAAGCAGATATCACAACTGTTAAAATATATCAAGTCAAATCTTTATGATTATGCAAGAAACGCAGAGAGCTGCATCAATCAAAACATCAGCTTGCAAAGCGAAAGGGGACACTTCCCACTTTGCGGGTACTGCCTGCAAAATATTCAGCCAGTCAGCAAGATGTCACCTGAAACCCTAAGTCCAGAAGCTGAAATACAGCTCTGAGCCATGGCTGCTGGACTGTGTATTAATGTGGAATTTGCAGAAAATCTGGATATTCCATTGGAGAAATCACTGCAATTATTCCAAGTCTTCTCAGCACAAGGCAACATGTATAGTTGCTGTTCTTGTTTCAGTTGTCCCCAGCTGTTCTGTGTTAGCAGGCACCCAACAGATTACATCAACAAAAACCCCCACAAATAAACACTGAAACACATTAGGGCTGTCATATCTGCATGAAGAATGCCTAACAGCAATTCTCTGGGGGTATACTTATGCTATGCTCATTCTGAATCATTTGGATTACAAGATTATTATTTTCCAATTCAATCATACATCTGAATTCAATTCAGGAACCAATGATTCAGAGGTAGTGACAACAGACGAAGAAGAGCCACAGATTGGAACAGCTTGGCAGTCCTTTTGTGTGAAATTTGTAAACATGCCTGCTCAACTGACATTAGAAGCACAAACGTTGTCTATTTGCAAGAGGTGGATTTTATTTCAGTTGTTCCAAGTTGGGGTCATTTGAGAATAAAACGGTGAGCATGAAGGAATCAAAATGGGGAAAAGTTCTTCAGTTCTTCTCCCTGGGGCTGACCAACCCACACTCATGCATATTTTCCTCAAAATGCATGTGTGATCCAACACTCACAGTTACTGTTAGCTTGGTACAGGCCAAGTTCTCAATTTTTACATCTGTTTTTCTGCATTGAATAATTGCGTTGCGATGTTTTGTTTTAAGCACATCGTTATTATTAACGCCTTACCAAACCCACCTATGAATCATTACAACTCATATTGGTTACTCCCAGCATTTTCCCAAAGGTTCAGATGTTTATTCCAACACAACATAAAACATCTTAAGAATGTGATTTGGATTTATTTAATAGATGGAATGATATAGAGGAGCTTCAGCAAGAGATACTCACAATATTTTCTGGGGCATTTGCGTGTTACCTCTCCTTCAGCCGAACAATGATCAACAGAACTGAGATTCAATGCTTTCTAAAGACGGCTGAAATACTATTTGTGTTTTTTTCCAGCATCCACATAGGAGCTTAAGGACCCTTGGTTTTAATAGCCATAGTTTTGCTTTCTTCCATAAGAAAGTGTCTTACCAGTATCAGAACAACAGTGGTGCATTTGAAATGACGAGTTTGCCACATGGAAAATGTGGACAGAATGCCTCAGCCCAGAATTCCATGGTTTAAGTGTGGTCTTGACTAAGACTACAACAACAACATGCATTTATACAATTTCCCTCACACAGAGTAGTGTCCCAGATCACTTGACAGTGGCGGAGTCTGACCCCGAGGTAGGAGGAGAGGAACACTGCAGATAACTATAAGCACAATCAAAAAATTGAGGGAGAGCATTCCTGAGTTTCAGGGCAGTGGCTGAAGGCACGGCTACCGATGGTGGACTGGAGGGGACGAGGGACAAAGAGGAGATCAATGAGGAGGGCAGCTCCATTATACTCTTGGGATTACACCCTCAACCAAACTTTAATATTCAACACCAAAAGCCAATTCAAAGAAAAGCAGTTTTTGCTGCTGCAACAAACCACTTTGGATTACATTTCTGCAGATGTCAGGAAGAAACAATATTCTGTAGGACACAGGAAATAGCACAGGATAAAAAAAAACAGAAGTTCAACTGCATTTAAGAAAGTCATTCAAAATGAATCCCAAAATGCTCATCATCAATCTACCCCCAAGCTCCTGTTGCATGGCTGTATTTACAATGAAGAATAGATGAACAGTATTGCATTTGTTTTTGCTTATTTACTTTTAAAAAGGCAACGCCTTCATATTTACTGAAAACCTAAATCCTTTTTCTCTAACCTTCAGATAGTCAAAATACTAGGTTTACCAAGTAAAGAGGATAAGATAGGTTTTAAATGATCTCCATGATAAAAATCCTGTGATCATTTAATAAGTAATTATCTCCTATTTGTCAACTCTTTTCGTGTCACTTAGGGTTTGATGTCCCCTGACTACTTGTACTATCATAATATTAGAAAAATTTGTGTTTGTCTTGTATTTTCCATCTGTTGCTATGTCCCTTTTCACTCTTAGCTTTTCTTATTTATTTTTTAACACTGCTGTATCTACAGTTCATAGTCTTGCATTTGCCTGAAGCCTTGTATTTCCCCCCAACCATACTTATCCCTCTCCGTCCCACCCCCCAGTTTTCCCTTTCTTAGCCGCCTCCACTCAGATCGGGGTCCTAGCCATGGCGTTTTGAGACATCCTCCTGATATGAAAGACTCTATATAAAATGTAAAAGCCCAACGTTTTCTGCCTACAAACATTGTGAATCTTTTATTTCCTTGATCTCCCTTTTAAATGTTCTTACTGATACATTTTTGAATTTTTATTTTACTTGCCCCTGCTGAACTGGGATATGTACTTGTCCCTCATGATCTTCATATTACCAATAATAATCAATAATCGTTGCATTTGATATAATGCCTTACTACATCATTGAGACGTCTCAGTGTTTCACAAGATTTACTGTGAAGTATAGTGACTATGTTTTTTGTATTTTTTAAGATGTTCGTTTATACTCAAAAGATGCACAATTTACAGCCAGCCTCATTTGTGTAAAACCTGATCTACATTGCTAGACGCCATATTAGTCATTTGGTTCCCAAGCATTGAGATATAAGCTGTCACATAAATACTTCAATGCCCAAGTTATTCAGCAAGGTTACAAAAGAAGCAGAAGCTTAGCATCGAGTCATTTACGTACTCACTAAAATCTGCCAAAATAATGCTATAAACCTTTATTGGGTCATAAGTTGAAACATTAGATTGGTAGAACACTGGATTAGAATCAGAGGAGAGCTGGGATTTCGGTAAGTCCACCCACCATAATTTTTGGGCACCATTTATCTGTTGACTGTTTTGATCATTTGAAAAAAAATGGGGGAAATAATAATATAACATAGTATAAATCTTAAAGGAAAAAAACTCCTAAAATTACAATACATTTACACTTCGAGCCTCTTTCACATTAGGAAGACATCACAAAGCGCTTGACAGTTCTGGCTGGTCACCAAAGCTGAGGGGGCCGAGGAAGGAAGTATTGGCTGAAATTAGTTATTCTACATACTTACACAAATTAAGTACTGAGCTAATGTTATGGACAATGCCCATGTCATTTACTACGGCACCAGCACATTAACCAGGCAGATACAGACCCCACCTAAACTGCCTGCATAATTGATTCTCTGCACCATCCACACCGTTTCTGGGCAACATAGGCCCATTGTTGTATTTGAATCTGCCATTCAAATCCAAGTCTCGTCCTATGTGAAAAACAGCCAGATAAATCTTGTGTAGCTGAATGCAGAATTTGGCTCTGAGCCCTCCAAATACTGGAAGATACTAATGCTGCTTTTACATTGCAATGCTCGAATGATTATAAAATGGGGGACTGACACTTGACCATTGCTTTTAGAATCCTGGATTTATGGGTTTTCCTTCTGCGTAAGTGTCTTGTAAATCTGGTGGTGAAGTCCATGAGACTGTTAGTATAAGAGAAGTGGACAGGAAAAGTAGTGCAGGTGGTCAGTGTCTTCACGTGGGTGTTGCAGCCCGTACCACAAGAGCTGTAATACAACAGCAGTACAACAACAACATGCTTTTATATAGTGCCCCTCACACAGGCAGTATTAATGAAACAGATCAATTTGCAGACAAAATTAATTCAGTAACCTTATGTCTTTAAAACTGTTGACAGCGATGGTAAAATTGATTTCTCTTCATATCCAGTGGAATCCTCTTGTAACGATTGTTGGAACAAAGAACATTTCAACCCGCGATATACACAGCAATAGCAAAAAGCAGCTGCTGTCGGTCAGTGCTTCTGGGTTTATGAAATTATGAGGGTGCTCTGTGTATGTGCGCAACAAGCCATCTGGCTGCTTTCAACAATAGTGCACAAAAAAGGCTAACATACAGGTCGTCAGGTTACCACTAACATCACTTTCTAGGTATTGGGTACACACTCAAATGCTATTCGGAGAACTTCAGCATCCTGTTTGAGTGTGGGTCTACTTTAACTCTGGTGCCCTGTGGATAGTATACTACCCCACGTAAAGGACTCTATTTAAATGTAAGTTGTTGTTTTTGTTAACAAGTCAGTATTTGAACTCACATGGTCTAAACCGACACTCTATTGCGGTGCTGGGGGTGGTGGTGGAGGGTGTTGCATTTTTGGAAGTGCTGTCCTTCAGATGAAATGTTAAAACATGATTTTGCC